CAATTCTAGGCAATGGTATAGGATTTTAAAAAAATTCTTTGTTGTAACTCATATGCTCAGTTGCACCCGAGTCTATTATTCACGTCTTTTTAGTGAAGGTCTTACAACTAATATATGAGTTTAGAGAGAAAGGATTAGGAGTTAAAGCAATACCAACACAATTGACGGAAGCTACGACATTAGAATCATTACCTTGATCCTTAGTTTTCACCTGCTGAAGCATTTGCATGATCTGTGCCAGTTGCACCTGTGAGGAGCTTCTCATGATCCTCCGATTATGCGCTAGTCATGAAAGAGTCTCCAGAAAATTCATTAGAAGTCACAACATTACCTTTAACAGAATTCTAAAAATTTCTCAACTTAGTAAATTTAAAATCAAGTGGAAAACCATGTATTTTATAACATATTTCAATGCTATGTCCTGTTTTCATGCTATATCTGCATACAAAAGTAGACTTCTTGTTATCATAGTTCCATTGTTTCCCTGACTTGCAGCAATGAAAGAAGAAGATTCACCAGGAAATTTTGGTGTATTCTTGTCACGCCCCGAGCCTACACCCTGGGCGGGACCGGCACTCGAAGACCATTCCTGGCCCCAAGCGAACCCTTGGCCTGGCTTACTTAACTCAACAGAATAACTCCATGCAATGAAAGGTTATAAAACAACCTTACTAATAAAATCTAGCCAAAAAGGCAACTCGTGTCTCCAAATAGAATATATTTATATATATATACACAGATGATAGACTCAATACTAACTGACTGACTGTGTATAAAGCCTCTATAACACTGAGATGGATGTTGGGGCAGACCCCGCAACATCCTAATAAAACAAAACTAAGAAAAACAAAATAACCGAGTCCTCCGGAATGCAAAGAGGCTCACCACTGACTCTGGAGTGCTTAGCTGGATCAACGGCGTGCTGGATGCTGATCCTGGTTACCTGTGTCTTCATCATAATAAGATGTAGGCCAACTAGCATCAGTACATTGAATGTACGAGTATACGAGCTGGAAAGCTAAACAACAACTTAAGCTTGAAAGGAGTACAAAGGAACACTTACCTTGGCTCTGTTCAACTCATGAATAACTGAATTCAATATAAAGAAATAAGACACATGCAATATATAAAGCTTGTAAAACAGTGTAAACAACTTAGTTCGTTATGAATAAAACGATAACAAACTCAACTTTACTTATATAAAAGTAATATAATTTTAGTGGGAGATTCTTTAACCAACAACCACCACTATGAGCCCTAGTGATGATACAACGTTTTACCTCACGTTGCCCAAGGACCATCCTATACCTTGCTGTGATATAGGACCTTACTTAACTTAGTGGATCCACTAGCTTAACTTACATGATCATCTAAAAAGAATGACCCGTTAGATCCCATGTTGGCTACATGGTTCTTATGGAAAGTTGAGTTAATATGAATTAGCGTCCCCAATTCGGTCCTCAATACTACTCCCAAAAATACTTTGGCTCATAAGTGTCTTTAAACAAGTTTAAACGTTCATTAAAGACTCTTGAAAACTTAAAGAAAAAAATTTGCTTTGACTTACTTCTTAACTTCTAGACTTGACTCTAACTTCACTTGACTTTGATCCTACCTTTCCTCAAATTGGATTATGGATTCAAGGGTAATGATCTCATGCTTATGGATGAGTTTGTCATGTTTAGATGTACCCTTAGAGTGTTGAAATCAACTAGAAAACATAGGTACATTACCAAGGAACATGTATCAAAAAGTGGGGAAGGAATGGGGAGGATTGGCGTCCTTGGCGCTCTGAGAGACGCGGGGCCCCAGCCCTCAAATTCCAGAAGGCCTGCTGGGCGCACTGCATGGCGCACCGCCCCAAAGAAGGAACTTCAGAGCCCTTTTAGGGTGCGCTGGCTGGCGCGACGCCCCAGCCTTTTCCCTAGAAAATCCGACTTTTCTCCTTAGTTTCTCCAACTCTA